CGTGTAATGCCAAGCGGCGAAGGGAACGAGAACGGTGAAAAAACAACAATAGGTCGTTTTGCACGACTGAAAACGTGAAACTTCCAGTTACATCTTTTTTGGAGGAAATGTACTCGTACGTGTTCTCGTTCACATTTTTTTCACTGCCTCTCATTTTCACCTTGCATTGTTGGCCGCTAGCACTTCTCATGTTGTCACCGCCGCTACAAAATTTTCATGTTGTTCTTCCAACAAAAAAAATGTCTCCTTTGGTTTTTGTTTTAATCTCTCGCTCTAGATTTCTGTTGCCCTTTTTATCGTTGAGCTTCGCTGGCCTGCCGCCTAATTTCTCTTTTTCTCTGTCTTTCTCTTGCTCTATATTCCAAATTTGTCGGCATGACAATTAATCTAAGCTTAATACTTTAGACAACACGGGTACAGAAACAATTTCCGCTTTCCGTTTTCGTCTTTATTTACTCTTTAGTTGTGGCGCGGGTGGCTATGCGATTTCCCGCCAAAATAACCTCCATATTGGTTGCCATACCTGCTGATTGAGTTATTTTACATTGGTATGCCTATGGTGCGGACGGACGGTCGGAGGCGCTCGGTGTACGGTCACGTCATTACCAAATTTTCTGGGATGGGTTGATTTACTTACCCATGGTGCTCCGCTGGCGCTCGCGAGAGCTCCGCTATGAATTGAGTTCGGCACGGCAGTAGCGCGACGTTTGAAAGCAAGTCGAGCTACTGCCCGTGTGTCACGGCAAAGCTTGGAAGAAAATGAGCTGTGAGCATTGCGGAAACCAGGATTCAGCAATTAAAGACTAACAGGATCTTGATAGGTATCAAAAAACTTCCTTATTATGTACGGAAAAGGAAGATAGAATCGACTTGAGTTAGGTGTGTTATAACGATAAACCTTATTCGTAAACAAAATGAAACTCGGGACAAGCTTGCGGTAGTAAGCTGGCAGCGTAACAAAACATAGTAAATGGTCCTTTGCGGCAGTTAATATTTCATAGGTGTGCAATAAATATATCTCTTCAAATTCCAGGAATTCTTATTTTAAGTTCCTAAAACTTGCACAAGTAGGCAAAATATTTATATATGTTTCGGTACATAAATGTTTTGTTACAATCACATCTTACCACCCCCATTAGTTTCAAGTTCACCTTCAATTTTCAAGAATACAGATCGCCTGTATGGGTCAAATCTCTTATCACCGCTGAATTTCAACAATAGGTTTTTGAAGCAAAATTTAATGTTAGAAAAATCAAAGAATTCATGCAAATTCCTTATTTAAAAGAGAGAAAATGAGGAAGTATTGTTCTGAATGCAAACAGTTCAAGCAAAAATTTCATTCCGCAATAGACGACCAAGATGATGCATAAAGTTTTCTTTTCCATAATTATAACTTTAAGCGACGATACAGCAATAATTCTCTTAACAACGAGATTCATTGTATTTTATTTGGAATAAAATAGAGAGTACATGGTAAAGTTATTTTTAACACGCTGAATAGAATGAATTCGTTAAATATACTTAGCCGAGCTCAGGCATTCGTGACACACAGGAAAAACTGATTTCTAAAGAAGACCGTTCTAAATGATCAAGAAAAGTCACCTCCTAACGTTCCCTCGCCTCGGTAACAAAATACGCGTAGTATGAACGAAGATAGAGACAATATCCTATTATTTCCTAATAAAACGTGCTTCATACGACAGATTCTCTTATCGGGCGCAGAGGGCGGAAACCCGAAATGAATTCCATGCAATTGATAACGCCTTTTACATCCTGCAATATCACATGAAGGTTCTCATCTTCTTTTGACTCGTATTGCTCGTCTAAAGATAGCAGGGAGATTGTGGCATTTTCAGAATCTTGAAGTGTGTCCAAGTTACTTTCCGCAGGCAACTCGTCCAAGGTGCACTCAATATCTCTCAGAGATTCAATAGAAGCGAGGGGACAAGCGGTCTGTGCGATTCTATCCGTTTCGTCTTCAAGTAGAATCAATCTCTCGGTTTCCGATGACCTTCTATTTTCTTGTGTTATCCATCGTTTATTTTCTTGTTTTCTTGAAGAGTCATTTCGTTGAAAGTGCGTTTTCAGGAAGGAGGAGATTCGCTTTCCGAAAATCCGCAGATTTCTGCCGATATAAGCAATTATAAATTCTCCCAAATCAGCGTTTGTAAAGTCCTTCTCGGGGTATTCCATTACTTCGATGTAAGATTCGTTCAAAATTGCAATAAACATATTTAAAAGGATCATTGTCATTGTGAACGTATACAGGAACACAAACAACGGTCCAAGCAGACCGTCTGCCGATTTTAACTCATAGAAAAATATTTTTCCTCCCAACAGCATCTGTAGAACAGCTCGCAATGAGTTGAAAAATGAAGAATACTGATCTAAAGTTGAGCCAAAAAGGAGAAACGCTAACTGGGCGTAAGCTAAGGTTGCGGCCATGAAAACAATAAAGAACGAAACAAGCGGGTTTAAACTTCTCGCTAGTGTCCCAATCATCTGACAAACATGCCGGTTAAAGCGTATAACGCGAAGGAACTTTATAGTGACAATGAATGTGAGAAATGACAGGACATAGGCCTCAACCGTAGACCAAAGGACAATATAGTCAGCACTTGATGTTTCAAAGGGGTTATTCCTGACCTTCTTCACAAACGAACTTGTGTATTTGGCTTTCATAAAGAACATGACGACGGCACAAATGGCTGTGGCTATTTGGAGAAGCTCAATCCAATTCCAAAGATCGGTAAAATACTTCTTCTTTTGGTTATAAACTTTAAATATTTCTTTAGTAACAAAAAGCAAGATAATGACAATAAATAGCAACTGGCAGACCTCGTAAAACATCTGAAAATTGCCGCTGGGTGACTTGTATAACGTCAGTGTTTTGACGCTTTTTGAAAACGCCTTTCCGCCGGTAGGAAATCGTTCGTAAAGACACCTTATAATACTGAAAAATGAACTCGAAGGATTGAATACCGTAAATTCAACGAACACGGCAACCGAGAACTCGTCGATCCAATTACTTCCCTTCAGTTTGTTTACAACATTCAAGGCAGATTTAAGATTATATCCTAGATCAGCTACGAATCCACCACCATCATAAATGCTGTAAAAACCTTGATATGAGAGCGTTTGTAGTTCCGAAGAAGTTAGATATCTCCAAGGTTTAGGGCACAACTTTTGCAAGTCAAATAGGGACTGAAAGAAGGTTGTATTTGTGACTGGAAGCCATCCAGGCAAACTGTATCGTGCTTTATATTCATTTTCGGCTGAATAAGGAGGAATGCATCTGCTAAATGTCCCTCCCAGACTAGGAATTTCCTCGGCTACCTGACAGTGATTTGCTGTTGATAATAAAACACACGCACATATGTAAATCAATCCTGACCAGGAAAGATGGAGGATCTCCGTTCACGTGTTATATAGTTAAAAAAATAAACAAATGTATTTCACATAATCTAGGAGTGACATAATCCTGTTCATGGTTTCTGATTTGTCAACGGCAACAAATTGAAGATTACGTATACACTGTATTTCAATATCGGAAAAAAAGGACATCTACTTTGCTGACGCCTACGAACTCCATCCCACAGGTTAGAGGAAGTTCAGTTTGCATGAACAGAGTATTTTTTTTCTTACTTTAACCCTTTTATAAATATAGTCGCGTAGAAATTGACGTGTTTTGCGTAAGAGTGCGCTATAAAATCAAAATATTCCATAAGCATTCGCTATAAAGGATTTTGGATCTTACCTGGCTTCATTCTTATTTGTCGAAGACGGGGCATCCCAACCATAAACAGCTCTCTGTTGCCTACAAACCCTTCTTTGTAATCAAACTTCCGCCCATTATACCAATCAGTGTCATACAAGGCAGGAAGAAGCCGGAGCTGTGTCCAGTTCCAAAATGTTGAAATATTTCCTTCCTTAACCTGAATTAGCAAACGACACAGTTTAAAAGGAATGCCAAATCAGAAAGCCTCGTTGTGCTATAGAGATTCTAGTGAATGGCACCGATAGCTCAATTTCAAAAACAGACTTTTAAATCAATGGCCATTTGTTACCGTTACCCGCACCTTGAAAAACAAAACAGCAAGGGTATCCTCGCATTAACCGTTACACATGTTCTCCTTGAAAGTTGAATTGAAATTGTAAAAAAAATCCAAATCAGAAAACCCGTTGAAGAAAATCATAGGAGGAGAGATTATTCTTTAAGCACACTAGTAAAACTGCACGAACCTTGGAATACCCTTGTTTTGCGAATTCAAATGAAAAAGGTTTTACGTCCACTGTTGATATATTAAAAACAAATATGGAAACGTTTTTATCATATTACATGGGGCGGTCTGTTTTATTGGATATACTATATACCCGACATTTGAAAGATTCGTTACCTTGAAATCGACAAACATGTCTTCCATGGAACTCGTCAGCATAAACCGCATCGTCCCTCGGTTTCCATAGCAAATGATCATTAGAAGCACCACGAAAATAAGGGAGCACATAACTTCTGCCAGAACTTTGTACATTCCTTGAACTTTAGCTCTGAAGTCCTTTGCTTTTGCCAGTTGCTCTCCCTGGGGTGGTCGAGCGATGGTCTTGTTATATTCTTCCCCTTTCTGAAAAGAAACGCCAAAAACTTTCTCTAGCTCCGGTGTTTTCCTGACAATGAGTGATAACAGGGAGACCAACAGAATAACTTTGACTGGCTGAGAGACAAAAACATCCTGAATAAATGATACAGTTATTGAAGTGAGCCATTGATTTGATGTGTCAGCTCCCCACATCATGCTGTAAAACACTGTGAAAGCCGCTGCAGTTAAAGACGTTACTAGGCACAATAGCCACCCGATAAAAATAAAGATGTGAGGAAGACAGCCCGGTGCCTTCTGTTCAGTTTCTTCAACGCTGATTTTGTACACATGCTCCTGTGACTTTTGCTTAGTGTTTCTAAAAATTGTCACAATTAATACGTTTATCGGAATTGCCAACAAACTACTCTGGATCCCAATTTTAATTTGCGTCCAACTCAGCTTCAACGGACCCAGCAGAAAGAAATCTTTAGGCGTTGCACCAAAGTTGTAAAACATGGCGTTTGTTACCATGGCACTGAACAAAACTGATAGGCAGCATGATAAACGCTGGCATCTAGTGAACGAAATATGCGGAGGCCTGGTCAACACAGACAGCCATAAATGCCCGTCACCCAGACTTCTCGCGGTTCTAAACAAGAAAATATTCTTAAATTTCTCGAGTTCCTCTTTATCTGCAGCATTAATTTCAAGTTCAATTTCTCCAGATCCTTTCTCAAGCGCAAGCCACCGGTTAACAAGGAAATGCCATTTATCTCCACTATTTGCATTTTGTACTTCCACCTGCTGTAAGAACCAGGCAGGATTGTCACCACTGTTGTCATGCCAGATACGTATCTTAAACAGACGGCCAAGAGAATAAGGAAGTGAAAGGGTGAAGCTAGTCACACTTCCACGAGCGAATAGTACTCGTCTGGCTTTTGGATCAGAGAGTGATATTGGTCCGCTGCAGCCGTCCTCACCATAAAGTACTACTCCCACAGACGCAGTTGTTCCTTGATTGTTCCACATTCCGGTCTGTACGTGGAGCTTGTAGACAAACCCATTTAAGGAACTACAGTCACTCAGATACACATTTCCCACTACCTTTTGAATAATAATAAGAAATTAGTCTGCCATCGCAAAGCCTAATTTAAAGGTCAAATGAACCAAAGAATTGAAATATTTTCTTTTGTCGCTTTACCTTCACTAAACACTAAAAAGAACCATCCTAAGAGAGATTTGGATAAAGATTTTTCTTCCCAAGCCTTTATAGAAAGATAAAAGATCAAAATCCGAGCATTTCCGAAGGCTTCACGAAAGCGTTTCTGAAACGGCCGTGCGATGGATTGGAGACTACTTGACGTCAATGTTAGTCTTCAGGGCGGAAAAACGTTCTGCGCACGCTTCTGCGCATCCCTTATCGCAGGCTCAAGGCGGGCTTTTCTGTTTGTTGACTGCGTCAGTTGACTGCGTTTGTTTGTGTCGTTCTGTGAGAGTTCTGACTGAGACTGAATGAAATACACCAGGTGCGAACGTTTGCTCCTTGTAAAGCCTTTTTTTTGTTTTTGTTCTTGTTGTTTTTTCGTCACTTGAAAAGTACTTTGGATTCAGAACAATCAATGTTAGCGTAAAAACGGATCATTCGGTCAGTCGGAGGTGGAATACAACGTTTTGAACATTTCCAAAGAGATTTGTATTTTTCTGATAAGCTTAATTGTTCATTCGAATTGTGAGTTGATTTTGTGCCCAGCGCTTCGCATTCTTTCGCCGGGCTGAATTAAAACCCGCTTATATTCTGTTATTAGTAGTTACGATTACTTTTTTTAAATGCCCAGATTTATTTACCTTTGCAGAATTATTGTTTTGCAACCTTTTTGAAGCTTTTTTTAATTCACTTAAACTGAATTTTATGGTCAATGGAATTGTTCTTTGCTTGTCGCATCTCTTTGCGAGCTTAAAGTGGCGTCTAAAGGTCTATCTTTGGTCATTAAAGTGACCTCAGTGGGTAATTAAATCATTTAGATAACTAGAAAATAAATTTTTGTTTAACTTTAACGTTGCCGGTTTGAAGGACATCTTACTTACATAGTTGTTTGAAACTGATTTTAGGGAAGATTTTACCAGATAAAGATTAACTGTTTTTCTGCCCACATATCAATTCCAAAACTTCTACATGGAGGATTTTGTTTATATTTTAGTGATCTGCGAAGCTACAAGTGTCCGATCGAGCGTGGGTTTTAAATTAGAGTACGAGTTCGAGTACGAGAACGACTTCAAGCCGTACTCGTACTCGAAGTCGTTTTCTCAGCTTTCTATGTTAGCGATGACACTGAGTTCGAGTTTATGGAAAATAAAACTATGGGATTCCGCATGACTGGGCGCCAAATTTGAGTCGAAGTAGGGGTTATTTCGTGAGCCTGTGAGGGCTGTGGAGAGACATGAAACTTTCCCGGGTAAATGCAAATTTACTCTGTATAGGAAATATCGCGTTCGGTTACTTTTCCTCGACTTCAAAAGTAGTATTTTACATAAAACATAATAAAAGGAATGTTCAAGATGATAAAGAGAGGCTAGAAACGAAAACAAACTGCATTAAACGATCAGAATTTACCTTTGAAAACCAGCTCTTCCCAGTCGTTCTACCCACTTCGAGTTTTTGGTGAGAACTCGTCGTAGTGCAACTTGACAGGACGACTTGAAAACGTGGAGATGCGCAGAACGGATGCGCAGTACGCAAAATCGGTGATCTCGTTCTAGAACTCGTACTCGTTGTCGATGCTAACATCCTCTAATATCAGCTCGAGTGCGACAAAGTTCAGTGACTTCAAACAAATTGTGGGCAAGCGTGAATTTCTTTGGGCAAATCACTATACAAAGATATTTTGTTTTTGTATCCACAGAGGAGCTCCGGACCTTATATACCCAGGAACTTCGTTATATGAACACACTTTGTGAATGCATCTTGAAAAAAATCGGACCAGCGTCCTACGCCCGCACATTTTCGGTAAAACGCAAGGAAATTAATTTCGTTAAAGTTCGTCTTTATACTATGATGTATTCTTCGAGAAAATTAAATAATAAGAAGGTTATAACCATAGCTTGTAACTTTTAAAGACAAATTGCTTGTTGTCTCCAGGTTTATGGCGGCACAAACCATCATAAATTCTGCGCCCAATCGACTCGAAAAACACTGTTTTGAATGTTCCGCTTTTTTCACCTGACCAACATTGACGTCACAAGCTGTTTTTTGCCGACAATTTTTCCGACCGTTCTACGAAGACAAGGGCCAAAAAGAAACAATTTTTAATTGCAAATATCTCGGAGATCCTTGCTTCGATTGAGCTGAAACCTCATAGTATGTGTATTTGGTTCACATGAAACACATTTCACTAGAATTGAACTAGCATAAAAAATGTCGAAATTTGGTTCACTTGACCTTTAAATAATACTTGTTTTCTGCTAAGCGTATAAAACAACCGTTAATCTGCAATTGTTGTTCCCATGCAATTTGACCCATCCATCTACTTCATGACCAAATCCGTTTAGTAAAAGAGTCTCTGAATATCAGCTTTCATTTCCACAAGTATGTCAACGTCAAAGTTTGCTAACATGCACAATTAAGGAGGTATTTTCATCTGACAACGGATATTTAGCATATATCCTCTTCGAAAAAACTGTTTTCATTCTTGAAAATCAATGGAAAATCTAGTCTTACCTTTCTTTCATCTGTTCTGTCCGCTCTTCGTGCTAAAACCAGTCCCAAGAAATAGAAACCAAATATGGAACACACTGTCGCCAACACGACATAATTGCCAGTTTCTCCGAGTACATTTAACTGTGTCCAAACTTCATCGAAATCGATTGGATTAGGAGCCACAAACAAATCTCCACCAAAAGCAGACAGATGAGTGCACATGCAGTGGAGAACTCCGTAACTTGTTTTGGGGCCTATCTTGAGTAAACGGTATTAAAGATCTATAAGAGGCTTTCGCACAATTGACGACAAGAAGACGTGATCCAGACAATAGAATAAATAAGAATTGGCTTAAGAGCAGATGTCTGTAAATATCGACTAGGGGTGGGAGTTTTAAAAAATTCAAAAAACGCCAAAAAAAAAATGTGTCAACTACCCTCGGTATTCTACTACTGAAAATATTTCGAGGCCCGTGACCGAGCAACAAAGAGTTTTCGATTTGAATCTAACTCAAACATCAACATTCAAACCAGAAGGTTCTCTTCTTATAAAAGGGATTTCAACATAATACCTTTGAGTACTTATTTGCTTGAACTAATTGCGACTGCAATATTTTCCAGGTTTTTAAATATTTACAAAATTTTGAGGATTTCACGCGAGCAAAATCTTGTGGCATTCAAAGGCCTAAAATCACACCCAGTACATCGTTTCATTTAACAAAAGACGTTCCACGTTAAAATGCAATCTCTAAGCTTTTAAAATCTGGCTCTAAAACTTTGGGCATGAAACAACTATAGGATTTTTGGGAACGCGAAATTCAGGGAGCAGTTGAGTTCTGACTCTGACACAGTGATAAAATATTGCTGTTCCTGTTTTAAACATTACGTAAGACTGGGAGAAGCAACTAATTATTTGTTCAAAATTCTGCGATTTAGAAGTAATTTACACCAACTTACCGAGCATCCATCATTGATCCAATCTTGCTTCTTCTCAGACCAATACAAGCAACTTGTTACTTTCGCAGACATGGTGTAGTTCACATCTGTGTTGGCGTTATAGTAAGGAATTATAATCTTGGGTGTTGGGGGAGGGGTGGTAGGGGGATCCTTAACACTAATGCAAGAACGCTTGTGTCTGCCGCCCTTACTTCCACACGATCGAACTACTCGTATGCGATCTTCTTGTGTCTCATTGGTCGTAAACATTATGCCTACGTAGTGTGCTCCCGTTTTTCCAGTGACATCACTAGATAACGTGACCTCGTAAGGGTTCTTTTTGCACGTATGGTTTCGAGTGCTTTGGTTAGTCTCTGAACAAGATGAAAAATCTGGAATTCTTCTTTTATACTGGTATTCGCTGGGTGTTGGCTTTTTTCCCGCGCTGACGAAAACTGTGACAAACTGGCCCAATTCAGGTTTAATCTCGACGGAGACAATGACATCCATGGTTGGAATATTAATTCGATGATATCGTAGATTGTTAGTTCCGTTGCTGGGCTTTACAAAATAGATTTCATCTGCACGTTTATTCGAGTCCTCGCGTGATCTAGTAACTGGTAAAAAAAGTTCGACAGGATAACTGAGGCCAGAAACCTCAATGATAGTTCCATCGTTTTTCTTTAGATTGAATTCCACCACTGATGACCTGATACTTTTGGCAGAAGAGGCCCACGTGAACGGGTTGTTATTAAATGTTGTCATCTGAGAGAAAAAATAACTGCTATTTTAGTTATTTAGATTATTGAAGACTAAGAATAATTGTACCGGCTAAATAAGTACGCCTACACAGGGGGGCAGCTGGTGTGCGAAACACCAAGTAATTACCTCGTTCTTTATATATCTTAGGTATAACTTTTTTCGAAGTGAACTACCATCTCACCTGAGCGTCTACAGACGGTAAATGTGTAGAATCAGGTCCAAAGAGATCCTCTGCAGACGGTAAAGTGACCTTCTCCCTGCTCTTTCCTAAAGTCTTCCCCGATATTTTTGCAGGCCTTTGTCGATCCAATATCATTTCTAACTTATCAGTGTGGTAGACGCTTGGTTTTTCATCAACTACCTTAGTTGCTAGAAGAGTGGCTCCAAGTTTGTTGATTAAATTAAGAACTTTCTTGGAGATGTGCTCGTTCTGGATTGAAAGGAGACATATTATGGAATTCATAATAATTAACTACATGCAGCAAGGTGAAAATTGTAATGAACTGACATCAAGAACATTTTTATTCACACTAAATATGTTTCCTATCTGACCTCCAAAAAAAGGGCATTTCCATATCTGTGACAAAGCTAAAAATTAAAACTCATTCGGGATATTTTTTCGCGTTCCTTAGTCAATATCAAAAAACGCTTGACCCTCTTTTCTAAAAATTTTCCTCGTACATCCCTTTTGCTTCCGATTAAATACAATACTCGAATAGTGAGTTTATGTGGTCGTAACTGTCTTCGATCGGAAACGTTTCCTTCTTGTTTGCCTTGAGCCGACTCAGTGCAATGGACTGGTCATTTCAATGAACATTAAAGCCAAACAGAGATAAATAAATTATCAATACCGCTTTTCTCTCTGTCTCTGCAACGCTGTCATCGTTCTCTGATTCATCGAGCATTCCATCTCCTTGCCGTCTTTTTAAACTTGCCTTAGTGGAGGAAATAGTAAGGGAGTTGGACATTCCTTGGAGAAGACTTTCGCCAACGTTCTGAAAAAGCTCAACATCGTGATCTTTGCTACTGATTCCAGATCTTAGAAGAAAGTCAGTCATGTTATCTAAGAGGCCGACTACATTTTCCTAAAAAGGAGCAACAGAATAAAGACAATTTCATTTGTAAAATCTACCAGGAACCCGTATCGTGGGTGTGATAAACTACAATAAAACCTACTGGCTACGCTTTCACCGGTTTAAACGTTTTTTAAATTAAAAAAAACTCTCATTGACACGACTATTTTTCCTTTTCCAATGACGGCGACCGTTCTTCCAACTCTCCTTGTGAATATCTCTTTCCAACAGTACAGTTATCAGGACAGTCGTACACAACAGAACTCTAAAGGTATAAAGCTCTTTGTCAAGAAAGTGGTCATACCTGTGAAGTCGCGGGTATGTCTTTCTCTCCCTCTGTTGCCATGACAACCACTGCTGATAGTTGAGTTACCTGTTGTATGCTGTCAACCTCTACAGTTGATATCTGTTCTACGATGGTTTTCTTGAACTAAATAGTAGAAAATTAAGGACATACCGATAGTCGAAGATGTGTCTATTTGAACTAGTTTAAACATGATATTAATCATGCGTCTGGATCATGGGCATTATCACCTTCTCACGGTGGTAGAGCTTAAATGATCTCAATGATCCCGAAAGCTATGCCATCTGGGTCCCTGGTCGGATCAATCATACCGGTTTGACCACTGCGAAGAGACCACACCCGATATAACAGGCTGGGGTTGGTCATGGGGCCAATAGCAATTGGCCAATTCATTGAGAACTTATGCGCCGCATGGTATAACGACCCCTACCCTAAGTAAAGGTATATTTAATATTTTCATGCTTGCCATTCACGCATTTTCATGCAATGATAGTATGGAACTTATCTTCAGAAGAAAGCATTAAGCTATTCATAACCACTTACTGCTTGCTTGTTGTTAGTATCTACGTCAGCTCCCACTACAGCTGTCAGGAGGGTGTATGCCATCTGCGCCGCCTCATCAACTTGACCACTGTTAACGAGTTCCTGAAGCTGGCTTTCTCCTCCTGATTGCGACGACTCAAGAGCTTCTGAAATGTCATTTGCAAGAACGGGTACCACCTGAAAGGAAATATTATTCATCATGATACAGTGTGAGTCGGATTACATATTTTTTCAACAATCTTGACAAAATAAATCTTTATTGCAAGTAGGAAGAAAGACAAGTTGCTTCTTTACTTCTGAACAAAGCTGGTGCAAGTGAGACCGTTGTAGTATGTTAAAGATTTTGAGAAAACTCGTGTAGTCGTTGGCTTATTTGAATCCTAACCACAATTCCAATGAGACAAGAGACGCATCAATCTAATAAATAAGAACGTTCCTCATGTACCAAAGCAGTGAGATTATTTCTTCCAACCTTTCTCAGTGCACTGTTGTATCACGAAAATTGAATTACTTAACCCTTTACTGAATTGAATTGCATCCACGCAAACCCGTTCCTCGGAAAGCCGCATAAAAAAGGCGCACTTTCTTTAAATGCCTTGGCGCGGAAACACAAAACCCGACGTAAACTTTCACCAATTATTGGGTGATGAGTATGTTATAACTAGGAGTAATCGGAGCTTAGGAGAATGCGTTCGATATGTTTTGTTAGGTGTACAGGCGGGTAACAGTTGAGGGTGAAGATTGAATGGTTCTTGCGATAGATAAATATGATTATGGCATATTTTGAACGTAAGGGTTGCGCGTTCGAGAACTGATTAAGTCTTTAAATCAAATTAGCCGAATCCAGTAAATGTTTTTCATTCATTTAAAATATTCCAGCTCCAGAAAACCCCGCTTCCTTCTATTTACAGTTCCCGTCTTCATTTGCTCGGTCCTTAGCAGTTTCTGGTCATGTAAGGAATGTTTGCTCTAACAAATCTAGACATTCTCAGAATAGCCGTTGTCATCTGCTGAGTGATGTTTTTGGTATGCTTGCCGTGTTTTATATCAGTGGTTGAAATATTTCTTCTTCCCATAATTCCTGAATCTTCTGCCATTTTTAGAGCCCTGCCAAAACAGTTGAGCTACCGCGCCTTCTGTTGCCTAGTTATCTGTCGCTACCTGTACAATTGACGTCAGTTGTCCTGATATTGGCAAACGTCTTTTTAATTTGGCCAAATTTGGTTATGCAAAATTACCCGGGGGAAATGAGCCAATCAGAAACACAGGGATATTTTGAATGAATGATAAGAATAATAACTATATAATGCACGGACAAAAGAATTCTTAAAAGAGGAGCCAGACAACGAGTCTTGGCGGACAGTGTTACACATCGCGAAAAATTTTATGGTATTCAGGGATATGAAAAACTTACGAAAAGTTTTTTTTTCTTACTGCGGATATTTAAGCCTTGTTACACACGTCCTGCTCTGATTTTGCTTCAAAAGGTAAAAATAAGAGGAGAATGGCTTATCACGTTCAGTGGCCAGGTCATTCCAAAGGGTAAAGGAGAACCTGGTTTTGCAAACACTTTCTAGTGAATGTATTCTGAGAGCTAAAACTAATCAAGTTAGGTTTATATTATTACCTGAACTTGCAATTGTCGAACATTTGAGGCTCCCACCGAATCTGATACTCGAGCTTCCAGAGTTATCCTTCCAAGAGGTAGGCGAGCAGTAGCACTGGAAGAAGGTCCACTACTGATCAGCAATACTCCAGAACTGGTCTGATATCTGTGTTAAAAATATTCAAAGTACGAAGACTGTTGATTCTTTCCATAAGACAGAATACCTTCAAAAGTGATCATCTTCAAAATCCTTAAACATGAAGCACATAAAAGGAAAACACGACCTCCTCATCCTGCCCTACAACGATAGCACGCAACCCTGTCTGGCTTAAATTTATGAACAGTGATTCGCAAAAGGTAAAAACGCGATGCCTGAAGCGTTTTCAAACTAAAACCGAAATCTATCATACGTGACGTTCAATGGTAAGACATCATATTTCCAAGAAGATATCCAAACGTTCCTAACCCTAATATCAAGTATAAAACTGGCCTTAAACTACTGTTTAAAAAGCAAAATCTAAAATCCAAGCTTGCGCCGATCAACGGCATCATCAGCGATGAGAAAATGTCTAGCGCGCGCTTTATATATGCAAAGAAAGTGTAGGGTGAAATGTGTAAAAGATGTGCAGTTTAAGGCCTCACTAGAACAGATTTATATTTTTAATTATACTGCTGAAGGACAAGATGAACAGATTATTGAAACTAGGCTTAGGCCGAGCCGAATTCGTCCTCCTGAAGAAAATATTCCGAAACAGCGAGTCCTTGGCCGTCAACAAACAACGACTCTTATTTCTCCGCCAATGCTCCCGACTCAACGTCTTCCAAAGACCATCGCAAACCTCAAACTACCATATGATTAAGGGATTATATCCATTACTGCGAAATCTAAACTGAGAACCAAACGCTTCGTCCTGAACGAAAGCAAGAGAGCACTTCGGAAAGTTGTCGCCATTAAATATCACGAACAACAACAACTTAACAAAAAGATAACATTGCAGTTCTCACCTGAGACAGCATCCCAAATCCGCTCCCAGAGATATCACCACTAGCAATCTACACCGCAAAAAGTTCCTTAAGCTATTGGACAACCTCAGAAACGATAGTACCAGTAACTACACCTCAGAAAAAATCCACCCGACCAAATAAACACAGCTTTTAAACGCGAGAACAACGTTGACACAAACAACACCCACTCCCCAAGGACCACAAACGAAACAAAGCTAATCACTGACCTCACACGCAACCTTAACATTCAGGAAATCAACCTCCTATCCAAAGGTCCTAAGTTCAGCCTCTCTGCTGGAGTAAATGAAAACACCCAGGGATTAAGGCAGTGAAATCTGCGTCATGCAACAAGACACATACAAACAGGTCGCCCTTGATCACCTCAGTGATTGCAACACCTACCGAAAAGTGCCCCGCATATCAGCCAAGACAGTTGAAAATAAAGTTAACACAGCCTGGAAGAAGATCTGCCTACCGAATGAAAACCCTCCCTTTGTCCAAAAACGCTTCCTTGCGTCAAACACGGAACTGCCCAGATTCTACCATCTCATCAAGACCCACAAAACAGGCCCCGATATTAAAACAAGACCTATCGTATCCAACATCAATGGAACCACCTAACGCATTTTGTGGCTTCTCGCCAACGCCCTGAAACCGATGCTAAAAAATGTCCCAGCCCATTTAGAAAACAGTCTCGCATTCATTAAATGTATCCAAGCCGGCGATCTCACCACAAACAAAACGTTACCATATCCATGCAGCCTCAATGTGGTATCCCTATACACCACAATACCTATACAAGAGGCCATCACCGACGCTACAGATAGAATCCAGAACCCAATACTCCACCTCCAACAAGACGTCTCAGAACTCCTCTAGGACACGCTAAACAACACGTACAAAGAGAAGCCCTACCCATGGGTTCTAGTATTTCAGGCACACTGGGCAATCATATTCATGGAAAAACTAGAAACCATCGCCCTCTCCTCGGACCTAATGATAAGCCCTTACAAGAGATATTTCTTGACGACATTTATCTCCAAACAACTAATGAAGAAACAGCAGATGACTTCCATCATATAATAAACAATGTACACCCTAATTTGAAATTTGAAATTGAAAAACCAGAAACAAGACCGAGTGGCCTGTCATTGTCACTACTCGGATTTCAAAGTCACCATATCCTAGGATGGCAACAGCTGTTTTGAATTCTACCAAAAGCCAGCCAAGAAACCACTATTTGTCCACCATCAATCAGCTATTCCCACCAAAATCCAAACTCAACTTCATTCGCAGCGAACGAAAGCGCATCGAGGACAGATGCTCCTCACATATATCTGTAACACAACACCTAAACACATTCGATGACATCCTTCGCGTTAACGGTTATCCAGAGAACAGTATAGAGAAGACAAAACGCTCACAAAACCCTCAACGAAAGCCTCGACCTGCCGAAACAGAATGGTCATACCTTAAGATCCCCTACATTTCTGAACGACTCAATTACAGGATCACTAACATTTTTAGAAAAGAAAACATCCCGGTACGCATTGCACACAAATCCTAAACACTCAGGCAAGCCCTATCCCACACCTCCAAGGAGTGCAAATGCACTAGAGACAAATGCCCTATCTCTAGCACCGGATTGTGTCTACGATGAAATGCAGTGTACCAGCTCACGTCTAACAGCTGCGATCAACAATACATTGGTAGCACGACACGCTTCATCCACGACCGCGTAAAAGGACATCTCGATAATGAAAACACCTCTGTGAAAAAACATAGCTATTAATAATAATAATAATAATAATAATAATTTAATTCATATATTGCGCGCTTTCCATGAAATGATCAAGCGAACATTACATGATTTCTATCTATTTTTTACTGTAAACTGTAAACGGTCCTTGCCAACTCTCTTCTGTGAATTTTGACATGTATAAATAAAAATTTAATACAGGGTATCTAACTAATAATTATTTAAAATATACTGTAATAAAATTAAAATATACAACATATGTTAAGATACTGGTAATTATAGTGATAAAAATCAATAAAAAGTTTCCCTAGAGAGGTGCGTTTTCAGATGGCACTTAAAAATCCGTAGATCTGTAATAGAACGAATCTTACGCGGTAATACATTCCAAAGTGCCGGAGTTGCGACCTGGAATGATCTGTCTCTTAATGTAACCCTACTTCTATAAGTTGGCGTCGCAAGCAACAAACCATCCGAGGAGGATCTTAAATTATAATTTCCTGATCTTTTAATTGACACAAGTTCTCTTAAATACGGCCAGAGCAAAGACGACTATAAAGGCATTGATGTCAAGATTATTATGAGCGAGAATGTCCCCGCTAATCTACGCCTTTATTAAGCATTTTACAATAAAAAGTGCAAGCCTACACTCAATTCCCGAGAAGAATGTCGTGAATTAGCAGACCTTCTATTTTAGTATTTCTTTAGAGACCATTCTTAAGCGCCTTTAGAAGTCCTTTGTCTAGAGACAATCTATCATTAGAGCTCTGTATTCCATTCACAGTTTATTTCTATAGCTTTCATACATACGTCACATCTTTTACACATTTCAACCTACACTTTCTTTGCATATATATATGGTGCGCGCGAAATATTTTCTCATCCCTGATGATGCCGTTGATCGGCGACAGCTTGGACTTAGATTTTACTTTTTAAACAGCAGTTAAGGCCTCACTAAAACAGTTTTATAATATCAAGTATTAGATATGAGCTTTCCAGACTACTAATTTTTTAGTTCGCCTTCTCTACTGGTAGATTTATACATGTAGCTAAGTTCAGTTACCAACGAGACCGTTAGAGCCAATTGAGTGCCTTGAATTTTAAAAGAAGGAGTGCATACATACAAAAAATTCCTACCTGAATTCATAATTCAGTGGCAGATCAGAATCCATCCATCCTGAACAACTGATGTTGAACTCGGTAGTGAAAACAAACCCTTCACTTGGAGTTACAAAGCACCCATCTCGCCCATCGAAAACATGTGGAGGCGAATTGGTTACGAACCTCATTTCCTCGGAAGTCACGAAGCCAGTATCAAGGGTCATAATAACCATAACCTTATACTCATTGCTTTCCCGCAAAACTTGTTTTCCACCAGGAATAACGAGGTTGGGGCTGTCTAGATGTGTCAGTATGTTTTCCTCAAAGTTTGGTATTTCTTCCCAGTCACGATCGTTAGAGAGTTGGAACAACACCCACTTGTAATTAACAATATGGTGGCAAAGCAAGCCCGAGCAGGAGGTTTTCAAAGTGAATCGCTGACTGGCACTCACCTGGGCCCCACAATTTGTAATACACCTGTGAAGAAAGTCAAAATTGATATGAGTTTATGAATTCACCATCTGTGGAATAAACAGCACAACCATACCAGCCAAACAAATTGTACGGTATGTAAAAATTTCTATATCATAAATACATATTTACTGAAATTTGTAGAAAGAGAATTTTTTAACTTGTATTTTGTATTAATAACTGTTTTCACTGACATTTCTTCAAACACCTGTCGTCTTTTGATTTAGATATCACTGCTTTCAGAGCTGTGCTTAATAGGATAAAGGTTGTGATCGGAAACGCTAAAAGAGGATTTTTGAACACCTCTCTCTCGTCAAAGCGACCTAAAGAGGTTTGGCGGGTTATCCATAGAGTTATTCACCCTAGCCCCATGCCTATTGTTGCAGATCCTGATCAGCTGAATTATTTTATCACTGAAGACAACGGAAAGAACACTGGGCACGTTGCCCAAAGAGCCCACCGATCTAGTGGACTTAACTGACTTCCTGAACCCGATCGTTATCCTTTCCAGCTCTGCACGGTATCTACTGAGGAGGTCTCAAAGAGATTAGCCCACTTAGATCGGACTGTTTTATTAGCGTTGACCAAATTCCCGTCAAATATGTTAAACAGGTTGGCGATTTCCTTACGGGTCCTCTTGCACATAATTATCATCAACGTGTGTATCTCTAATTCGTAATTTCCACGCATCTGGAAAACTGCACGCATCTCACCCGTTCCTAAAGTCAAAAATCCAAAACAGGACTCAGACTATCCACCGGTCTCTATACTTCCCGTGCTCTCCAAGGACTTCGAGCGTTTCGTGCTCTAGTGAGGCAACTCTTTCACTGTATTGATGAACAATCTTTATTAGCCCCAAGCATCTCGGGCTTCAGGAAAGAACAGCCCACCACAACTGTTTTGCTTAGAATTCGGAACGATCTTATTCAGGCCATGAAGAGGGGTGAGGTCACCATTATGGTCATTGCCGACTACTCGAAGGCATTTGATACCGTAAGGTTTAAGCCAGTTCTTACCAAGATGCATGTCATGGGATTCACCAAAAGCCTCCTGAAATGGATGCTCAACTATCTCTGTGAACGAAGACAGTTTTTCCAGAGCGATGCAAGAAGGTCTGACCAAGAAGGCGTTGATTTCGGAGTACCGCAAGGTTCCGTATTAGGTCCTTTGATCTTTAACCTATATGTGGCTGATGTTCAAGAGTAAGCTTGGTGCCCGTGCTTTCAATATGCTGACGACACAACTTTTTCCCTACGCTCAAAGGTGTCTAAGTTGGATGATTGTACCACCGGCCTAGATGTTGCTATAGCACGTCTGGCTAGATATTGGTAAGAAACGCAAAGTTTCTGTTCTTAAATTGACTTTAAACCTCTGAATGATACAAATTGTCCTGAATACCTTAAACTTAGTGCTTATGCAGTGTCTGCATACAACTTTGAGATCCTCTGTTGCCCCACTGTTATGTATCCCCAAAGAATCTGGCACCTTTCAGGACACTGCCGCAACCTTTTTCAACAGTCTACCATCCCATGTCAGAAACATTAAGGACAATGGACTCTTTTGCAAATCAATAATGCCATTGTTATAATGCCGCGGATTCGACTCTATTTCAATGACACATAGATATTTTAATTTCACAAACTCAGATATTAGATATGGTCTATATTTTTTTATTATTTATTTGCTGAAAAGAAATTACTCTTAATAACTATTGATCTCTGTACACTCACCCTATGGTCAAAATAAAAGGCTCATCTACCTTGAGCTTGGACACGGCTCGAGATATTCTTTGTCCCTTTCGAATAACGACCTGGAAAACGTATGTCCTATTTCCTTTAACATTCTTTAAGTCAACGCGAAGCAGAGGTGAAGAGTTGTTTAGTTTTCCTGTAAAATTGTAGCAACCACTTGTTTGTATCTTCTCTGTGCTTTTCGTTGGTTCCTCCTGGCCTTGCTCTCTGCATAGCCAGTTTAAAGACATCCCCTCAATCTTTTCATACTTTTTATCGGGATCGTAACTTTCAGAGGCGTCTAATATTACAAACGTTTGGTTTCCCTTGACGGCTCGCGCAGGACCACTGATTATTGCCACAAGTGGAGGAAATTCAAGGCGTACATATCCGTAATCATACGTCTTTACTTGTTCGAATTGCTTTTTTATTTTGTCAGTCATTCTTTTAAACACACATCGAATATACAAGTAACCAACGCCACGGAAAAGTCTCGGAAAAAGTGTTTTTGGCCTGTCAGGACTCCAACTCCTGCCGTAAGGAATAACCTGATCACACAAGCCAGTGTACTCATCGCATTTGCATACTTCCCAGTATAGTTTGTAGTCATTACTAGTGTTGCAGTCGTCTCGAAATGTGGCTTTAAGATGGAAAGGTTCGTTAACGTAAACAATAGAAGCATTTTTCAAGGTTTTGCTGAGCTCCACAGTGACTCTTGGAAGTGTACATTGACAATCAACTGCAAAATAAAAGGATCGATAAGATGATGAGTAAATTCGGCCCACAAAATGCAACCCGGTCGATACACATGTTTCCCTTCTACGAGCAAATAATTTTTTTTAGTATATACTAAAACAGTGGATAGTGTTTTTCGGGCGCTCTGATTGGCTACTCAATCAGTGAATATCCTGCACTATTCACTGATTCACCTCCAGTTCCTCCGCGCGCGACGCCAAACTCGCGTGGGTTGCGAGCAAAATGCTTTCCCGGTTTGCTGCCGTAACAAACTAAGAAATTTCACAACTAATCAAGCAAGCTATTTCCGAAATACATGAACAAGGTGACAAAGTTCGGTTTGGAAGTTTTAACAGGTAAAGCTTTGTCTTTTTTACTTGAATAGTTATCGATAAAACCGGTGAAAAAGTTTTTTGTTTAAAAATGCAAATTAAGCTTAAGTCTTGCGTTACCTTATTTAGTTCACTTGTTCATAAATAAGCTTAAAACTAAATTTAATAATCTTTTTTACAGAATTATTTTAAATACAAACAGAATTCACAACTTCCTCGCAAGAGCTAAACAAACGCCTTCAAAAGTTTTATTTGTCGCTAAGAAAAAGCGACGACCGCGGACGTTCGGTCATCGCGCGCCAAAATTGTAATCGTTGGCAACAGTAAATGAGTTAAAAAATCATCATTTTGTGCTCAATTATCTCACTGTTTTAGTATATACTAAAACAATTATTCACCTCAGTGTCGGTGGCTAGTATTAGATATTTACCTCGCCGCTTCGCGGCCTCTGTAAATACCCAGTACTAGCCACCTCCACTTTGGTGAATAATTGTTATTTAATAGATATATATTTCATCTGTTGAGGCTTAAATATCCTATTCCTCGTCGTGTGATGTAGAATTATAGGCCCCTCGTGTGGAGAACTTTTAAGCAACATTAATCGGACGAATTTTAAAAGCTTGACGACTTGAACCATAAAAAATACAAAAATTATTTTAGTCGCTTACTTGTTGGGCTATGTTCACTATAATTTGAAAATGCTTTCAAAGGGATAAATTCGAAAAATGAAGAGAGCCGAACACTTCAAAACAAATCTAAAAGCCTTAGCAGAAATTGTTTCGCGAAGAAAGAAATCATGGAAGTTGATTAAAAGTGATTTTATGGTTGATAGAAGCAACTTCAAAGGAAGGAGAAACTAAGGCCCTTTTCATACACTAAATTTCACGTACAGGGAATGATAAAAGTCTTGTTTTTTTAACTCTTTGCCATTAATCGTGTTTTCAACTTCCAATTTGTTTATTGATCATGCAAAAAAAATCTTGTAATGAGATATGCTTTCACTCACAATGGTGCTCTGTATTTAAGTATTCGCTAAAAAAGGATGAATCCCCTCTCTGAATCCTTTTCCTTAGATATTCAGCCACAGAATACATCTTCGATTGAAGACAAAAGATCCTGATTTCAGCAGCCGTAATCGGCCAATCAACAGACTTCTGTGGACTAAGCAAATTAAAAAGTTGAGGGATAACAACGAGACTGAGCCCGATACAGTCAAGATTGATTTGTGTGAAAGGGTGAAGTAGAGTTGCCAAGATGTTGATTAGGTGATGAAAGCCAGTGATAATGCCGGAAATTAATCGGTACAAAAGGTGACAAACATGCCATCCCATTCAGACATGAATTGCGCTGATCGTAAAAAGCTCGTTCATGTGGCCTTAGAGCTCGGCAGTTCCCGTTCGTGCAATTTGCTGATCAAAGTATATATGTTTAACTGCTGAGTTCTTTGATGCGTTGGTAATTTAGGATTTAAGATAATTCAAGTCAACCGAAGTCTACTTCAATATTCAAGCACCTAGGGCTATAGCTTCAGCTTCACGTGCTATATCGTAAACGTTTGAGAGGCTAAACGACTTGATTTGTCACAAGTCGACCGCACGAGTTTCACAGAAGAAATTAAGATGCCTCTCCTCCTCAAACGTCTGTTTTCTCTCTTAATTAAATATTAACGAGGGAAGAGGATAGAATGTTAGCGAGGGGGAGACACGTCCCGAAAGAACACGCGGTAAAGCCATAAGAACATCTGCTATTACAAGAGAATTCCAAGCTGTCCAGAACGTTTACACTTTCTTTCCTTAGGGCTCTCTTGTCTTCCTCTAGTTTCCTTTGCTGGCGATGTTTCCGTATTTTGTCTCATTTTCGCTGCAGTTTTATTACCACTCTGCACATGTTAGGTGATTTTGAATAAAAATAACGTTGCAACTAAGTTTTCGAAACGTCTTTAGCAACCAATTTCTGTTTTCTTCTTCTATCCCAGCCCAAACGATAAGGCTCCTTTTTTGTTCTTATACCTTTTCATGGTACGTCTTTACCTGAATACAACGCTTAAGGGTGGGCATCATCGAGAGCGAATGAGCATTACATTATCCATGTCCCAAACTAGTATCAACAATTTTCCGCAAAGCTAAAAATCGTTCATTAACCTCATTAATAGCCAGCATTTTGCATTACATGAACCTACCTAAGTGTTCGTAACTCGGCAGAGAGGAAACCAGGAGCATGAGCCATTAGTTGCATTATCTGAATAATAACGATACTAACGTTAAATAAAGCCAGAGTGTATACGGCTGTTGGTTAAAGATAGTAGTAAAATTTAATGAAGATATAGTTACAAGGTACTTCATAATCCTCTCCTAAATTTAAGTGCTAAAAGATCTAATATTATAGAAGAATATTTCTCTACTCGTTATATTTTTCATGAACAACAAAATTTTCCAGGAGTTCTTTTCAAAACTATAGCACTTACAAATAATAACAATTCTTAGTTCAAAACCATGACAGGGTAATTTTCTCTTTTCTTTATACCTCTTCGGTAACCTCTTTCTTCAAGGCCAGATAAACTTCATTCTCTCTTTCAGCAAACTCTAATGTGAAACGAGATTTTGATACGGCGATCCAGGCCACAAAATAAAATTCTAAAAAAAGAGAGAGAGAATGAAAACATTATTGCGAAAAAATGTTTATAATATTGGAATAGCATAGCACCGGAAAGTGGTAAGGGCAGCAAAGTGAAAAAAGCAATTGTCCATCATAGATAGCGCAAGCTCAAAGGACGAACAGCTGACACTACCTGTGGTTGGCGAAATGGTGCAAAATTCACAAATCCAAATCCAATGTTTATTCACATTTAAGGTCTCGGTAAATGAAAATTTTAGTATATTGCTCGATTTTGTTTTTTCTTGGCATCAGTGGGTCCTAAATTTTATTTTGGCAGAAAAAGAAAACCAGAAAGTGCTATTTAACCCTTCTAAAATGAGCCTTTTCTGAGCTAACCAGCCTAGCGTGGACCTCGCGCTAAATCTTTAGAGCTGATTTTCTCTCACTCTATTTTAGGCGCAAAAATCAAAATTCTCCGAAATTTTCCGATTTCCCTTTGTAACTCATTTTATGTCAGTTTCTTTGCGTAAATCGCGCTCGAGATTCGACTTTTCGTGTTTTTAGTTTGAAATGCAATAATTCCGCTAATACGAGACATATGCAAATTTCCTCACACCCTTTTTTAGGTCTTATATCTGTCAATCAGATGCAATAAAAAGGAAGTGAATATTTAACAACGCAAAAGGGCTGGAGCTTCAGCAGTAAACCTGATACCTCTGAGTTCGAGAGCAAAAAACTTAAGCGCCTTTTGAAATTCGATGAAATAAAATCTTTTATTAGGTAATTTAGTCTTTTAGCTTTAATATGATATATAACTTGCCTTTGTAGCGAAAATACTCGCGCGACTAGAATTTTTTTCTGTGGCCACCACGTTTTCGTTTATCGAGACCTTAACGATTCCATTTTGGTCCACTAATATTAATTCATTCACCTTAAACAACTACATTGTCATTCAACATATACAGGGATTCAGATTCAACGACATATTTCTTAGTTACTATATATTCACTTATATGCAACATATGTTCATTCACAATCGAGGTCAAAATTTCTTTTCAACACGCTGGCCACATTCCTTCAACATTTTGTCAAGGGTGCAAAATTCAGAAATTCCATTTCCTTCGCATTTAACGAATTTATTCCTTTTTTCAAATATATTTATTATTTCATTTACATTCAAGGTCAAATTTTTTCTTCAAAACTGTTACATATTCATTCAACGTTTTGTATATACTTTCTCAAGCTGCAGCCTCAAGTGTGTGCCTCACGACCCACAAAGGTTCATGGGTAAAACTGTTAGTGTGCCTCATTTCAATCGTGACATCGTCGAGTACGCATTTCTGCTGTATTTTCAAAATTAAAGACGCTGCGGTGCTGGAAACTTTTACAAAGATTTACTTTTCTTTCACCTTCAGCCTGGTGTACATAAGAATTCAAGGAGCCTCGCTATTTTGACTTTAGAATTTGATGACGTCACAACAACAATATATATACAACACAATATCTGATACTCAGTACCCTTTACTGTAAGTTATACTTTTAGTATCTTTTCTGACGAAAAGACCCAGGAAGGTTGATAACTCATTTAACATTTCGCCGCAAACTGCCCTTTGCGTGTTGTTTGTTTTTGATAAGGCTAAATGTGCGCTAGACGTCAACTACAAGAATTATAAACGTAACAACAATCATACTACTACATGAGAAATTTCTGCAATTTGATTGGCTTAGAGCAGTAGCATTTCAGCTTAATTTGAAATACCTGCAAGTGAAAATTACAAACTTTTTGTGGGCAGTAGTTTAAACAAAACAATAGCATGATTTGCACGTGATATTTGGCATAAATACTACTCGTGATATTTCAAAATTGTCTCAAATCTCACTCGCCTAAAGGGTCGTGAAATTACGTATAATAATTTCGAAATAATCGTTTCTGTACTTTCGTTTCGGGGAGAATGAACAAAATAAGCCAATGTGTAAACACAGGCGCAAATCACACGCCATTCTTAAACCATTTTCAGACATTTCACTCACGCGCCATCCTGACACAGGCACAGTCCGCAAAACGAAAAGAAAAACAACTGCACAACACCTTACAAAATTAAGACTGACGATCAAAACATGAATAAAACTTAAATGAAACATGTACAACAACGACACTTTTTAATCAAGACAGCAAGTAGAGTGACGGAAATGTTTCCAAACCTGCTTCTTCTTTATGTTTGTTTGCTTTTAGCCGGCTTAGCGTTTAAGACAGGAGAACAAGCCTCGAAGCAAGACTTTTGCTAATAATCCTTACTTTCTACAACCAATAACTAGAACTGGGTATTCTCTAAAAACTTTTTCTTTCCATTGACATCGAGGTCATTTACATCGTTTCCGCTCTGTCTCAAATCTTTAATTTGTGTCATGACATGAAATAATTACGCCCGACTTTACAATAAAACTAAAACGAGACAAACACTGCAATAATTACTCATAATCACCTTGGATAGAGCTTCTACTAGAAATGCCTTTTTGGTATACTTTCCCTTTCGTTGAATCCCGTGGCATGCCTTTCCTCAACCGAAAAACCAAAAAAAAAACAAACCAGCTTCGAATAACAGAAGAGTCTTGATAACAGCTATATTTTGTGGCAACAGTGAAAGATCACGACTAGTTAAAAAATTGAAATTTTGAAAGATTTTTCCTGTGGTCCGCCGTAAAAGTCTGCATCAAATTGTCAAAAACGCAGCCATCGATGAGTCCCTTTGCGACACTTTCCTCGACGAAAAGCCAAATAAACGATTCAGTTTTGAAAAACAGAAAAGAACCTTGGCAGCAGTACATGGTATTTCGTTTTGCGGCGTCAGTACAAGAACATGATAATTTAAAAAATTTAGTTAACTGAAAAAAAAAAGCTTCAGTTGCCGGTAAATATAGTCTGTCGACAAACAAATTTCTAGATGCTGCATAAGTTTTCTCGTATGAATTCACTTTTCACTTTTGATGTTCCCACAAGAAAGCTCCCTCGATTAAGCGCTCTTCTTTCTTCCATTGCATTCCACACCCAACCTTTTCCCCGCCATGATCACTACGCACTCTTGATGTCCACTCAAAGTTTTGTGTTGCTCTGAGGGATAAATCTAAGACTGCGTCTATGTCGAAGTATTTCATTCTATGCTACGCTATTGACTCTGAAATTAGGCAGGACTTGTTGAAGGGCTCGTATGAGGTACTCTAACCTGATCTGACATTTTTTTCTTACTACAACGTAGGGTGAGATCGTCTGCCGCAGAAAATACTTCATCCCACTGTAAAGGAGACGTTTGCTCTTTTTCCCGTTCATTGGATATTTGTTTCATCCACCATATTATTTAGTTTTGGCACGAAAATTTGCTCTCGTGTTTCCAATGGATAGAGCAGGCGGGAGCCTGGGATCCAACGGTGCGTGAAGAGGGATGCGTAGAAAATGTTGAATGAATGAGCAGTGTTGAATAATGTGAATGACTATCTGTCTGGATTTGATAAAAGTTTCATTTGAGGCTTGTTCAGTACTTGACCATTCTTTTTTTTCTAATGGTCTTTCCAGTACAAAAATCCTCTTAAAAGCTGCAGTAGATCAAAACACATGTGCTTAATATGCTGTTTACATCAATTTCTGGAGGTACCTTTTATCAAATCCAGACAGATATATAATGCCGCGAATGTAAATGAATATATATTTGATAAAAGGAATTAATTCTTTTAATGTGAAGGAAATGGAATTTGTGAATTTTGCTCCCTTTAAAAAAGTTGAATAAATATTGCAACCGTGTTGAATAGAAATTTTGATTTTGAGTGTGAATGAATATATGTAGCGAAAGTAAATGAATATATTCGTAACTAAGGATTATTATGTCGTTGAATCTGAACCTGTGTATGTTTAACCACAATGTAGTTGTTGCATGTGAATGAATATATTCGTGGACCAAAATGGAATCGTTGTGAATGAAGACATTGGATTTGGATTTGTAAACTTGGCACCATTTCCCCAACCTAACCTTAACCGTAGCCAACCATACACTACTGGTACTACTGCTACTGCTCCTACTGCTCCTACTGCTGCGCTGCTTTGTCGTCTTCTTCTACTACTATCACTGCTACTACTGGTGCTACTAATGAGGCATTTAGAAGCCAGCGTGGGGTCACAAATAGATGCACTGCCAATAATCAGCATGTTTTCACCTATTTCTTGGAATGTTTTAGTTCCGCAAAAAAAATTTTGATTGAGACATGGCCGGTAAAAAATGGCTCGAGTGAACGAAAACTAACCTGGTTTGCATCCATATAGTTCCATTCTCAGAGCAAAGTTATTTTTTATTTCCTTTGGATTGATTGTCACTCTCCTTGTTACCACTGGAAATGGCACCTCATTGTATTGAATAGAATGTGAATTTCTATTCCCACTGAAGATCTGAAATGAATACAAAAACATAAAAAAAAATAATAATATAAAATAAGACACAGTCACTTCTCTCATGGCAATTAATGATACGTCATTGAGCAATACCCACCATTACCTGTTCTTTTTTTTCTTCCTTATTCAGATTTGGTAATCTCCGAAAGGTTTAAAACAAAAACCGATTTTTATAGCTGTAGGAAAATGAAATGTCGCGGATGAAGAGCCAACAAACGGGGCTTTTAATGCTAACATTTTAAAAGTAAGTTCGGACGTCAGCATACAAGTGCGCCACTAGCAGCCGCAATGAATGATGCGTGCGATGAGGTATTCGGCCATCAGAGAAACAACACCCTGCCCTAGACTTTTCGAATAGTATAGTGTGCGTGGGTGCTTTTACGTCAAAAGGGGTGACGAAGTCAAGGCAAACGCCCTAATGTCAACGCCCAACGGTGCGATTACTGATCTGAACTGAGACAGGGTCTAAAAGGGCTATTTTTGTTTTCTGTGCTAAAAACATTACCTTATCCATGCACAAAAATGCTCAGGTAGACATATGAATTAGATATCAAGCACTAACCATAATATTTTTTTGCAATTTTTGCATGCATAGCATTAAAGCCTGAAAAAAAAAAGAGCCCAATCGATGTCCAACTTTGCCACCCGTAGCAACAGACAACGGGAGACAGTTTCAGTGTGTAAATATAGTCTTTCTAACAAACCTGGACTATTAGTTTTGGAATTCAATAAACTATTTTAAATCCAGGCCAATATGATCTTATGGCCAGTTGCTCAGCTTGCTGAAGCATTTAAACAAGAAAAATGAAATTAAACTTAGGAACGTTACTCGACGTTTCGAACATCATTATCAAGAGTGAGAACCGTTTACTTTCAAAGTTGTTAAAAGAGTTAAAGTTTGAGTAAATTAGATTGCATTCGTGCATGCTTCATTATTATGTAGATATCTGAATAGGAAAGCTTTGCGCAAATCGAGTGCGATTCCACGTTCAGTGTTGGTTTGAGTTGTTGTATAAATAGCACTTCGTAAACAAGGCATTCGAACTTATTTATGCTTTTTTTAAGGAACCAAAACTTGTCCGTGATAGCCAGTGGGTTTTCGACCCCATGATGTATCATGGGCCACCCGATTGACGAATTTAAGGTTCTGTGTGCGCTGATGTAGTTGACGATTCGTGAAAGCGATATCGTCCATATGTCAATATAAACCACCTCCTTGGTTCAACGGGCAGAGCGCGATCGGGGCACAAGTGAGACATGTTGGTCACTGCTGGACATCTACTGCATCCTTTCCTATCTTCAGCCGTCTTGACCATGTTTTGGTACTGGATTCAGATAGGCCGGGAGGAGAGAGTGAAGCTGACGATCTGCGCAACTCTCCCACGCTTTAATCCAAGTCAAGCGCAAGTCATGACTCCTCACTACTCTGCGCAACTTCAAGTCTTGTGGCGATGGACGAGTGGCGAAGCAACAGCCCAGGACATAGGGTCGCCCTCTACTGGATCGACGCAGACCTGGAGTTCGGCAGCCCCCGGGGTGTCCGAGCAGGCTTTTTTAGCATTTCCTCTGCTCACCTCCATAGAGAAAGGGGCTAGAAAAGGCGCCTAAATTTAGTCTACTTTAGCATCCCCTGGTCGGCAGGCCGCGGTCGGCGGGGATCCCTCAGAGTGGTTGCTTCTATGATGCCTTTAAGAACGTTTATGGACCACAGTCCTCTGGCCCTTCCCCCTCCTCAGTGAAGATGTTATGCTGACTGAGAAAAAGTAGAGCTTGAAGAGATGGGCTGAATACTTCGATCAAGTCCTCAGCCGTTATGCTCAAATCAATGACGAGGCCATTGCCCGCCTGGCCCAAGTGTAGATCAGTCAGGACCTTTACAAGTTGCCACAGAATTCCAAAAGGTTATCAATTAACTCTCATATGGCAAAGCGCCACGACCAGACGCACTCTGCTGAGCTGCACAAAGAAGGTGACGCCACCATGATAAAGACACTGACAAAGCTATTCCAGTCTGTGGAATGAGGGGAATGTTCCATAACAAAGATGCATGCATAGTCCACATCTACAGCGGGAAAAGCAAACGCCGAAGTTGTGACATTTACCGAGGTACTTCTCTCCTGTACATTACAGGCAAGATCTTGGTCCACATCCTGCTCAACCGCCTCATCCAGCATCTTCAGTAGTGTCTCTTCCCAGAAAGTGCGGTTTCCTCTCAGAACGTGGAAATGCCGCTTCACGCCAGCTCCAAAAAAATGCCAAGGACAGCACAGTAAATTCTTTGTGACCTTCGCTGATCACACTAAGGCCTTCGATACGGTGAGCAGAGAAAGTTTGTGGAAGATAATGGAGAACTTTGGCTGTTCATAACGATCGCCCGACAATTTCACCATGGTATGATGGATAAAGTTTTGGATAATGGAGACAAGTCAGATTCCTTTCCAGTTACGAATGGCGTGAAGCAAGGCTGCTTTCTCGCTCCAACGCTATTCAGGATCGACGGCAAACGCCCTAATGTCAACGTCCAACGGTGCGATTACTGATCTGAACTGAGACAGGGTCTAAAAGGGCTATTTTTGTTTTCTGTGCTAAAAACATTACCTTATCCATGCACAAAAATGCTCAGGTAGACATATAAATTAGATATCAAGCACTAACCATAATATTTTTTTGCAATTTTTGCATGCATAGCATTAAAGCCTGAAAAAAAAAAAAGAGGCCAATCGATGTCCAACTTTGCCACCCGTAGCAACAGACCACAGGAGACAGTTTCAATGTGTAAATATGGTCTTTCTAACAAACCTGGACTATTAGTTTTGGAATTCAATAAACTATTTTAAATCCAGGCCAATATGATCTTATGGCCAGTTGCTCAGCTTGCTGAAGCATTTAAACAAGAAAAATGAAATTAAACTTAGGAACGTTACTCGACGTTTCGAACATCATTATCAAGAATGAGAACCGTTTACTTTCAAAGTTGTTAAAAGAGTTAAAGTTTGAGTAAATTAGATTGCATTCGTGCATGCTTCATTATTATGTAGATATCTGAATAGGAAAGCTTTGCGCAAATCGAGTGCGATTCCACGTTCAGTGTTGGTTTGAGTTGTTGTATAAATAGCACTTCGTAAACAAGGCATTCGAACTTATTTATGCTTTTTTTAAGGAACCAAAACTTGTCCGTGATAGCCAGTGGGTTTTCGACCCCATGATGTATCATGGGCCACCCGATTGACGAATTTAAGGTTCTGTGTGCGCTGATGTAGTTGACGATTCGTGAAAGCGATATCGTCCATATGTCAATATAAACCACCTCCTTGGTTCAACGGGCAGAGCGCGATCGGGGCACAAGTGAGACATGTTGGTCACTGCTGGACATCTACTGCATCCTTTCCTATCTTCAGCCGTCTTGACCATGTTTTGGTACTGGATTCAGATAGGCCGGGAGGAGAGAGTGAAGCTGACGATCTGCGCAACTCTCCCACGCTTTAATCCAAGTCAAGCGCAAGTCCTCACTACTCTGCGCAACTTCAAGTCTTGTGGCGATGGACGAGTGGCGAAGCAACAGCCCAGGACATAGGGTCGCCCTCTACTGGATCGACGCAGACCTGGAGTTCGGCAGCCCCCGGGGTGTCCGAGCAGGCTTTTTTAGCATTTCCTCTGCTCACCTCCATAGAGAAAGGGGCTAGAAAAGGCGCCTAAATTTAGCCTACTTTAGCATCCCCTGGTCGGCAGGCCGCGGTCGGCGGGGATCCCTCAGAGTGGTTGCTTCTATGATGCCTTTAAGAACGTTTATGGACCACAGTCCTCTGGCCCTTCCCCCTCCTCAGTGAAGATGTTATGCTGACTGAGAAAAAGTAGAGCTTGAAGAGATGGGCTGAACACTTCGATCAAGTCCTCAGCCGTTATGCTCAAATCAATGACGAGGCCATTGCCCGCCTGGCCCAAGTGTAGATCAGTCAGGACCTTTACAAGTTGCCACAGAATTCCAAAAGGTTATCAATTAACTCTCATATGGCAAAGCGCCACGACCAGACGCACTCTGCTGAACTGCACAAAGAAGGTGACGCCACCATGATAAAGACACTGACAAAGCTATTCCAGTCTGTGGAATGAGGGGAATGTTCCATAACAAAGATGCATGCATAGTCCACATCTACAGCGGGAAAAGCAAACGCCGAAGTTGTGACATTTACCGAGGTACTTCTCTCCTGTACATTACAGGCAAGATCTTGGTCCACATCCTTCTCAACCGCCTCATCCAGCATCTTCAGCAGTGTCTCCTCCCAGAAAGTGCGGTTTCCTCTCAGAACGTGGAAATGCCGCTTCACGCCAGCTCCAAAAAAATGCCAAGGACAGCACAGTAAATTCTTTGTGACCTTCGCTGATCACACTAAGGCCTTCGATACGGTGAGCAGAGAAAGTTTGTGGAAGATAATGGAGAACTTTGGCTGTTCATAACGATCGCCCGACAATTTCACCATGGTATGATGGATAAAGTTTTGGATAATGGAGACAAGTCAGATTCCTTTCCAGTTACGAATGGCGTGAAGCAAGGCTGCTTTCTCGCTCCAACGCTATTCAGTATGGCCATGCTGACTGACGCCTTCTGGCAAGATGGAATATCGGTTAGATACAGGACTGACGGTGGGCTACCCAACCTCAGGTGGTAGAGGGCTGTTACAAAAGGTGAAAGAGACCGTCATCAGGGACTTCATGTTTTCTGGACTGTGCCCTCAACGCCAGCACAGAGCAAATGATGCAGCGATAAATCGACTGCTTGTCTCTAGGCAGTGACAACTTTGGCCTTACCATCAGCACCAAAAGACTAAAGTCATGTGTCAGCCTGTACCTGGAAAGCCTTACCAAGAACCACACACTACGGTTAACCTACAGACAGTTGACAACGTAACCTATCTGGGTATTACACTTTTAAGGGTGGTGTCATCATGAAGTATATTGCAGACACGCCAAGCAACTTAATCATTTCCACCCCAGCTGTATTTTCAGACTTCTCCGTGTCAGATGGCGGACAAAATTACCACGGACGTCATAGAAAGTGCTGTTATCCCCAGCGTTCACACGCTCCTACAGAAAGCCCAGGTTATATGGACAAGCCATGTCGCCTGAGAGCCTGACAGCCGACTGAAAAAGCAGCTACTGAATAGAGACTCTGGGCAGAACTCTCAGGACAAGCACTTGGTTGGCGCGCAGAAGAAACTTTTTAAAGACTGCCTCAAAGAGTCCCTCAAAGACCTGCCGATCAACCCCAGTATTTCGAAGTCACTTGCAGGACCGTCCAGCTTGGACCAGCAAAGTCACCACTGAGGCTCGTGCGGCAGAAAATAACGGACCGCAGAAGCACGTAGAAAATGCGCCTCGCGCAAAGATAGAGCAACCACCACATCCACTGCAGCACCCACACACTCGTGTCCCGAGTGTGGGTGACCCTTCTGGGCTGGATCAGTTTGGTCTCACCAGCCATCTTCAGACCCACCACTGCTAGTCTTTAGTCTGAAGTCATGGCCATCTTAGACTTTCGAAGGACCAACATTAGTTATTCAAAGACAATAGTTGTTGCTCCGACCGCGGTTACTGTGAAAAGTATACACGGAAATTATACGGTCGTAATGGACTGCTATCTTCGAAGGACGAAACCATGCATGTTCACTTTCAAACGATGAGTATTGTATGACGTCTTGGCCCTTGAAAGGAAATCTGGTAGCTTTACATTTTTCAAGGAACATCATCACCATCATAATCTCACCAGTGACTACTGAAGTTGCCTGCGTGCAGACGTCTCCTATTTCCTTTGTTGCACGCGGAAAAGGAACGTCTGCGTAACGGCATCGCTAATCGTGTTCCAGCGTCCCGCTGGGTTCCCAAGATCTTGAGAACATGCTGTGATAGGCTGACACACAGAGCGCATTGTTTGACTTAACGCTGATTGGTTGTCCTCGAATCTGGTCTGATAATGTATGCGGCGATTTTCTTATGTAATCGGGGTTTTCCAGCCAGAACAAATCAAAACATGTGCCATTGTGTGCAGAGCGTTCGAAATCTTTTGCGAGGCCGCGGAAAATTTAACGTGTACGAGGAAATTATTTCTTTACAATTTACTATGCATGACACATAACATAATATTTGTAAACAGTGTCTCAGAAAAGTACAAAAGCGGCGTGGACTTTGCACCATGCAGGCATTTCGGAGAAAGCCAGCCAAAGAAACTAAACCTTTTATTTAGTCGTAACAAACAGAGGTCAAAGAAAATTTAAACACTTTACAACTGGTCTGAAATCAAATCCTATCAGGAACACCCACAGAAGCATAAACCACAGGAAATGATTACTCAGTATGCATGTAAAAAGCCTGCTTCATGACCTCTAAATAAATCTAAGACTTAGGGCGGCAAAAACAAGATTTACTCAGTCAAAGTTCAATGCTGCATGCACTGTGTAGTGCTAGTAACCTTCGAGCGAGAGAGAAAAGAAGAAAAACCTCTGTTCAAATGTTGTGTTTGGCCTGTCAACTCTTATTTCTAACCGGATATTATTTCACAATTTATGCGAAATAGAATACCCTGCCAGCGGGACGCTGGAAAACGATTAGCGACGGCGTTACGCAGACGTCCCTTTTCCACTTGCAACAAAGGAAATAGGAGACGCCTGCACGCAGGCAACTACTGAAGGGGCCTAAAAAGGATTAATTTATGGAATTATTAAAATATATCACGTGAGGAATTATAAATCGTGAAATGCTTAAGCTATTATGATACTGACCTTTTGGGAGAGGCCGTCTGCTTCAGTGAAAAACTTAACGTCATTTCCTTTCTCGTAATATATTATATAGGATTCAACCCATTCTTGAACAGACGAATTACCATATCCCTGTGTAGCAATTCCTGTTATCACCATGTCATGATCCAGATTCACTGCTAGCCAGGAGAAAAAGCCCTCTCCCTGTTTATTAGCTCTGTAACCAGGTGGCCAGCTAGTTAGATTAAGTCTCGCCCGGTGAGCTCCGAACGTGGCAAAGTCGTTGTTGTAGGCGCTGTTTACTGACATCTGCTCGTCTCTGATTCGATAGTCTGATATTCCCAGGCTTTTACTGCATTTATCTACAGAAATATTTTTTAAGTGAGCTTATTGGAACACATACATCCAACTGCATGACGAGATAAAGTTGGATGGTAACCGAGACTTTAGTTCGAAAATCGTGTTACCGCGATGAGTTGCACGACGCATTATCGCTTTACCACGCGTTTTGGATTTAAACTGACATTGACTATTGGAAAAGTTATTCTAGTTATTTAAACGTAGTTTAGCCTGTGTTTAACAAAACCGCGTTCTAAGCCATTTTCAATTTGCGCAACGGTTCTATCTAAACACCAATTATTGTGAACGGCTTTATAAAAGCACACCGAGTAGACAAGAAAAGTATTTAGCTTCCCAAAATAACCCACGAAGGAAGAGATCTTGAGGTCCAAAGATTTGTTAAACCGCCGCTTAAGTTATACTTCGCCTAAATAATCGACGCATTGGGTTAAGAGAGGGAAGGCTTATCCTCGGTGTAAGAATCTGACACTCAGGAGTGACGTTAAGGTAAGATGACAAAGAAGCCTACATAATGAACGTTAGGAAAATAAAAGGTACACAAAAAGAAAACCTTCACAGGTTCTTACGAGACTGAAATCGGTTGAAATCAGTAAAGCTCATTGATTTCAAAAATTAGTCAATTTTTTTTCGGAATGAGAATGTAAAAATTAAGGCAATTAAAATGGAACGCCTATAAGTTTGCAAAGTATAATATATAGATTTAGCCAGAGCAAGGCAAGCTCCTGTTAATAAATTTATAATTTAAATCAAACAATTAACTTGTAATCCACAAATCAGTTAACTTTAGGGCACATTCATGTGACTCTTGAGAGGAAAAAGGCTAAGTCAGTTTAGAGAAAAATAATTTGCAAACGGTTCAAGAGTGAAACAAATCTTATATCGAGTTAATAGTCTTATATGTACACCCCCAAAATAGCAATCATCTTCGATCAAAGTCAAGAGCCATAATGGCTCTTGATCACAGTAGATTAGGCCTGCAAAACAAATTCTTCCCAGACAAAATACACCTACACCAACAATATTTTATAACGTTAATTGGACGGCCCCGAAATATAATTTTATGCTTTAAAGGCCGGCCGGTTTTAAGACACGATAGTCCTCAGTGGCAGCCAATTTGTACATGTAATAGGACTACATGCTGTCCAATTTGGAAATAATTGGATGAAAAATATTCCGAGGACAGCTAAAATTGAACGAGGCCGTAAGTCGACTCCTATTTGGCTGTCAGAGGAATTTTTTGAATTCAATTATTTCCAGTTTGGACAAGAATGTAGTCCTCTTACTTATTAATTATATAAGCTTAGCTGGTTAGTTAATCCAGATTTTTTAGCATGTCACAGACGCGAAATATTGCGGTACACACGAACCCGTCCGTTTGTAGTTGAAACAAAAACACACTACAAGATCTAAAAATGGTTTATTCTTATGGTGTCATTCAACATATTCTTTACAAGTAAACAAAGGTAGAACTAGTATTGCTCTTTCAGACTTTGGCATTTTGTTGCCAGTTAAGAATTTTGAAATCTCCTTCAATGATCCGAATGATACGGGCTACAAGTGAAAACCGCAATTTCGAGAACAAAGAAGACAAAGCAACAAAGCAAATACTTAATTTAAATACAAAAACTATTGAAAAAAAAAACATTTCACTCATTACCTCAAACGATTTCCGCAGACTTTGTCCGTTTGTTTTTGCAATGCCAGCATCAATACCTAGACCAGTTCTAAACACAGTATCAGTGTCTTCTTATTCTTGTCCAAAGTTTCTTTACTTGTGCATTTTAAAGAATCTATCCGTTGATTGTTTCCAATACAGACGTTCATCAGTTTGGTCATACATTTTCCTTTTAAATGGCCAAGACAAGAAGCCGAAACAAAACAGCAGCCAAACAAAACGACATTCACATCAGCAAGAAGCCAAGAGTGCTCGCCGACGAACCGCCGTCAGCGGGACTTTGCGCTGATTGGCTAGTTTGCATTGCTTATTGTATTTTCTGGCATTTGATTGGCTCAGACCAGCTGTCCTATTTTTCTTAAATTGGACAGTTTGCCTATTTGTAAAGGAAAGCCCCATCTGAAACTATCCAAATTAATCCTTAATTGGACAGTTCCTACAAATTAAAGGAAAATAGCTTTGCTGACAATATCGGATTAACTAACAGCTATATAATTAACACGTGGTAATTTGTAGGTTGCATTCCTCGGTCTAAAAAGGAGGCCAAAATAAAAAAACAGGCCGGATTTTTTGTGTTCGACAAGTTTACTTTTACAAAATCTTGCCGGCAAATCTGGTGGCGTCTAAACCAACCTTTTATAGCGAAGCTCCACGCACGTGCTTTATAGCTAAGAAAATGTGGTAATCTACCCATCCGAGAAAATTTGTAATCACGTGACCGTACGCCCAAGCGACCGACCGTCCGTCCGCACCAGAGGCATACCAATGTTCATTCTCACACTTTCTAGCTAGTTTGGGAGCCCGGGGGAAAACGGATTGCACGTCAATGTTGTGATCAATTGGGCTGTCAAAATAGGGTATCGGCTGACCAGTATCACCTGACCGTATGAGGTCGAGTATTTTTTGAAGTTATCTGCTGACACAGGCTCAAGTATATTTACTAGGATGGACAGATTTTGTTAGCTATGGGACTACGCTTGCGCGCGCATCGTGCGCGCGTGGAGCACCGCTACAAACTTATGCGTTTACAGATAGCACACAAGAATGATATTTGTATATCAAGGAGCGTTGTAGTGCTTCTCTGGACGTTGCAGAGACGCATATCGGACCTAAGTATATGAAAATACCGTTTACGATCGTTCAAGCACAGACGGAGGAATTGAGCGCTTGCTTTTGTTTTCAGACTCGTAGACAGACCCAACCAATCGGCATTTGTTTGGTGTATATTTCTGTTTGAAGTGTTTTATATTTTACTTGATGTTCATAGAGCTAGTATTAATGGTAAACCATCTTTCCCAAAACAATTTTTTTTTCCTAGGCCGCCAGACTATCACGTTGTAGTAAACATTGAAAATCGTCTGGAAGACTTTCCTATCTTTTTTTTTATAATACCATTTATTCTTGAGGAAGTTGGCGATGATCCAAAATAGTGTGTATAATCTGCCAGACTATACTTATGCAAATTTGTTTTCAACATGTTTATTGTCTTTGCATATGAATCATTTTCGTAACTAAACTACGAATTATAAAAATGAATTTCAAGATTCCAAACACAATGTTAAGTCATAAAGAAGACCAGCAGCTTATACGAGTCTTAACATTATAATACGACTAATGATGTATGTCTCACTTCCGTCGCAGAAAGCATTTAAGTGCTCTTGAATTGGTCGCTAACTACATTATGTAAAAACTGTGCTAAATGATTGTTTGCCATTAAAAACAACATTTTCTTTCCGGAGGAAGCAAGCGACTGATTACCTGTACAAAATATAATGTGGTACGGACAGGTATTTTAGAAGTGCGCTTCCTTTAGTGATAATCTTCTTTAAAGCAATACAGAATCCCTTGTTTTCTTAGGTTCAGATTATTAAAGAAAATCGGACCAATTTTCTTGAATTGAGGTAGTTTTCTATTAGGCAGTTATCATCCTATTTAAATTCAGCTGATTATTAAAAGCAGCAGCCCTGTTGTTTGAACATGATTGTGCTAGCTTTTTTGTCTATTTGTCAAAAATGACTAACTAACAGGGAATTCAATTTTAATGGTAACTGAGTTTTCAATTGCTTTCAAGTCACTAACACTAATTTAAAAGTTTCATATGCATAGGATATTACTTATTAATAAATTTTTCAACAAAGGCACCGACTTAGAAATAGGCATTGAAAGGAGTTGTGAATATTACGTATAGAGCATTAGAATCGGCAAGACTAAAATTTAAGGTTTCAGCAAGATCATCTATCTTTGCTTTTCCATTAGGAAAAAGTGGTTAGGAAAAATGAAAAAAGGAATAATTGTAATTTCTTTTATGATCATTTCACGTGAGAGCAGAGAGTAGATGTACAGGCTGGACTGAGTCCAAGAGATGCACTTTCGAAAGACGTTTTGACCTTTTACAGGCAAGAGAAATAGTTTAAGTCTTTGACATGACGCGTTTGAGTAAATGAAACGAATTCTTATTTAGAGTGTTCGCTATTCTTCGCTCATTTCACATTTGATTTTCTTCACTAAATTAAGCTTGAGATTATCCTAGAAGGCACGTGAACTAAATGTGTCGTTCGCTCTTGACTAGTTTAGGCAGATGCTTAAAAGAAAGAGATCAAGAAAAGGATAAGATATAAAGCTCCCTGCTTAAGAAACTTTCGCGCCTTTCTGAACATTACTTATTAAATTTTGAAATAAATTTCTTGCATATCCTCTATTGCATCGACTGACTGCAGCTCAGGGCAGTGTTTTACCGTCATGCTCCACCTATCGTCCTTAAGAACTAAGTGATCAGTGAATCCTCAATTTGAACCAATCTCCAAGGAGAACAACCGTTAGATTTAATAGGTTAATGGTGTCTTTTTGCCACGAATAAAAGCTGCAAGTCGCAAAGAAGTGCAATATATTGAGGTTAAAATCGGTACGATCATGAGCAATTTATACATTAGGCTTAAATGTTTTTTTAATCTAACTAACCTGGGCAGTAAGAGATTCCATCCTGAGAGGCCATCAAGACCAGAACCATTATCTGCCTGAAAGCAACAGCCAGCTGTCTTCCAGCTTTTACCATGGCGCTTGGGCTGCTACAAACTGCATTTGTCCAGTTGGGATACACTGTCAGAGATAATCGTCTGAGTTCAGCAGGTGTCAATAACCTATGAATACTAATATTTGTTTTCTGACTTAGGCGTGAAATTTGGATAGCCTTGGGGATGATAAGCGCAAGGAACTGAAATTAAAAATTACAATAAGTTTAAAATACTAAATTGCCTTTGAAGCCGTTCATTTCTTTAGTTTCTAAACGGTACGGTGCATCTAAACTATTTGAACTGAAGCATTCAGGGAAACGTACACA